TGCTCATCAAAAACAAATGGGTATCCCTGAGCTATATTGGATGGAATTGATTTATACATATAAATAGGTTTTACAGCTAGCTAGTATTCTTGTTGAGATGGCAAGATAGCAAAGTATCAAATATAGATGGAATGCAAAGAAGCCCAGAGGGCAAGCATAAGAGACTGGATGATAAATGGAGCAATCAACAATATCAAAATTCAAAGACATATTTCAGATCCAGTCCAAATCACGTATATCAGCGATCCAAGATAAAGACTTGTTAGAAAAAACATAATGCATATTCAAGAGCTAGATCAGATGTTCCAGCATTAATTTACTTTTTCTATAATATATAGGATGGACCAAGACCAATAATAACTCTATTATTGCTATCTACTAGACAAGATATTTTTTTATTTAATCATAAACAATCACAAATTCCAGTACAATACAATTTTTTTAGATAAAACTGCCCCAGAGATTATTTTTGGCAATTTATTCAATAATGTACAAATTACTTTTTCAACTGTGATATTGATACCTTCGCAATCTCATATTCCTAGACTAGATAGTATTTGGGACTTGTAATTCATGGTATTGGGCATTTGGTCACTTGAACAATTTTGTGAGCCAAATTGACAATTAGTTGCATATATAAACTGCTAGGCACAAATAATTTCCATTGGGTAAAAAAGTCATGAATATACTTTTTGACATTCATTCAAAGCTGCCTTTATGGACTGTAGGTATCAGTCAAAAGCAAATGTTGCTACAATTTAAGGTTTTTTAGTGGAATAATTTTAAGTATATATTAATATTAATCTATATGCTTACATGTTTTCAGTAAAACTATCTTTAGATGATTTTGCCATAAAAATATCCACTATCCATGCCTGTATAGAAAAGACTTCCCTATAGCACTGAAGCATTTAGATGCATGAAATAAATGCTGTTTCACTGGCAATTCCAGTATATGCATGTAGGAAAAACATGCCATGGATCTAGAGAAACACCTCATTGTTCTCTAGTATTCTCCAGATGTATACATTCCCTCTACACTGGAAGTTCTGCTGGTTGTAGAATAGTTTTGGAAAAGGTATACTATTCTCATATTACAAATTTATTAATTTAGTTTTCAACTAAAACCAGTTATGAACTCCATTAAAGTTCTTTTTGTGCTTTTCTGTAAGTATATTTCTGTTTTATATTGCTTGAAATATTCTTGAGAAGAGTAGTTTCTCTTATAAATCTCTTAATAAAAATATACCATTCATACACGAAAGTTGAATTTTCTTCCCATTATATTAAGACTGTATTTAGCATTCAGGACAATTTTCTAGAAATTAATTTCATCCAAGAGTTTCTATCATGCTTCTTGGATTATATTTGGGTTTTGCCTACAAATTATTCATGTAGGGTTTATTCCTTCAACTTGAATTTCACTTATCTTGAGACCCAAATGATGAAAATTTAATTAAGAATCGTAATTTTATAGAGTTCGTTATTTAAGATAAAAATGTATCTTCATATTGCAGAGAAGAAGGGGTAAGTATTGTGGAGAAAATGTCCTTTTAGCTACCTGCTATTTATCTTTCAGATTGATTCTGCCATCTATATACCTTATCCCATCTGTGTCATGTATACACATATTTATACATTTCAAATGATCCTGTATGAGTCAATAGCTTGTAGTATTTTTATACAGTTGTAATTATATGGAGAAGACTTAATAAGGTTTCCAATAAACAGATTATACTTTAGAGCCTTATGGTGTGTCTTGTTTATGTCAGTTACTTTGGCATATCCAATTGTTGTTAATGTACCAAGACATTTTTGGTCCAGAGTATTTGCATCAACAGTTCTGTTTTGAATACTTAGCAGTGTTAACCTCCAATATGATGATGCTGGACTAAACAGATGGGATACTTCAAGTTCATATGCAGTGATGGGTTTATTTAAAAAAGAAAAGTGATAATGGGTTCATCATTTATATTTTGATATATATTGTGGGTGTTTTTATTTAATCTTACACCATCATGATATAGTATTAGAATAGCTGCAAATTATAAAAGATTCCGGAGAAGAATTCGTTTTTTATCATGAGTTGCTGTAAAGAGAGGTGCATTTTTTCTTTGCATCATATATCCTTTTCCCCCTAAGACAATTATTCAATATAATTAAAACCAGAAGAGAAGTAAAATAGCTTGCAGTACCCTATCTAAAAAAATAAAATTCAGCAATGAGAAAGTAAGGTTCTACACTTAGCAAGAAACACGAAATGCACAGGCATAGAATAAGTGGTACCTGGCTCAACAGTAGTAACTATGAAAGGAGTCCTTGAGTCCTTAATAATCACTTAAATATGAGTCAGCAGTGTGCTGCAGCTGCCAAAAAGCTAACACAGTCCTAGGCTATGTTAACAGAGGGATAGAATCAAGATCATGTGAAGTGTTAATACCACCTTATGATGCCTTGGTAAGGTCACACTTGGAATATTGCATCCAATTTTGGTCACCACAATATAAAAAAGATGTTGAAACCCTAGAAAGGGTGCAGAGAAGAGCAACAAAGATGATTAGGGGACTGGAGGCTAAAACATATGAAGAATGGTTGCAGGAATTGGTTATGTCTAATTTAATGAAAAGAAGGATTAAGGGTGATATGATAGCAGTGTTTTAATATCTAAGGGATTGCCACAAAAAAAGAGGAGGTCAACCTATTTTCCAGAACAATAAAGGCAGATTAAAAAGCAATGGATAGAAACTAATCAATGACAGGACTAATCAAGAAATAAGGAAAAAATTCCTGTCAGAATAGTTAATTAGTGGAACAGCTTGCTTTCAGAATCTGTGGATGCTCCGTCACTAGAGATTTTTAAGAAGAGATTACACAATCACTTGTCCAAAATGGTATAGGGTTTCCTGCTTGAACAGAGAGTTGGTCTAGAAGATCTCAAAGTTTCCTTCCAACTCTGTTATTCTATTAATATCTGTTAAAACACAATATAATGCAAATGTGTTATAACACTGATTTCATAGACATTTGAAAATTGCTACCTTCAGGAAAATAATAATGGACACAAAAGATGAAAGGGAAATAGGTGTAATTCTCAAATTAAAATGAAGAAAGAAATTATCTATTTTTGAAAGTAGAAATGGAATTTGAATTTTTGATAAATGCTGAAGTTCAAAATACATTGAGCTAGTGGAATAAAGTTAATTATTAGACACTTTAAAGACATTTCCTTTTCCCAAAGTATTTTCAAAATGCAACTGGACTTTCTTGGTTTTTTCCTTTGAAAACGTTTGACTTCTCATCCAAGAAGCTTCTTCAGTTCTGAACTTTCCTAGTGTTAAATTCCACTGACCCCCCATATTACTTCTGATTATATAGTTATAGGACTGAGGTATATATGAATTGAATGGAAATGATTATACTGTATATTGCCTTTGTCTTTATAGCTGGAAGAGAGGCTGCTTTAATAACTGCATTTTTTTTCCTTTTAAGTCTTTGAAATACTCATTCCAGACCAAGGATCGTCTATGTTTTGTGATGGAATATGTCAATGGAGGAGAGGTAAGATGCAAAGCAAGTAGTGTTATTGCTGCTTTGATTTCTGTCTTAACTATTAAGTTTACCAATATAGTCCTTTGGTATCACTGAAATCTCTCTAACATTTCCTTTTACCAACTCTTGTCCTTCCTACTCACATGCATTTCTCAGTTTGCTGAATAAATAAATTTGCTAAATAAATATAAAATAAGTAAAAATATTGAACTTCTTAGTCAGCCTTGTGAGCAAAATGAACAGCAAGTTTAAGAGGACCTAATTATATGGGCAGGGAAGTTTGGATTTTTTAAAAAGGAATTTTCTGCCCTGTGTTTGCTTATCACATATAAAAATGTACATTTTCTCTTTTATTAAGTCTCAGAATATTAATTTACTGAAGACTACCTTTGAAAGTATTAGAATTTCACTTGTTTTATAAAGTTTTTTAAAACTTTAATTTACTTCTATGTTTTGCCATAGAATTCTCTATTAAAACATTTTGCTTATGAAAAAAATGCAATTGAAGAAATAAGAGAGTGATATTCATCTGGACAAAAGGTCTCTTTCTCTCGTGTCCCCCCCCTCTGTGTGTGTGTGTATACCATGATCCTTATTTCATAGTCAGTATTTCTTCTGTAATTCTGTTTAATTTAAGCCTTGTATTAGAAATATTTTAGTGAGGATATGCAAGTTCTGAATTAACTTTTTATTCTAGAGTACTTTGGGAGAGAAAGTTAAATTCTGATGATAATACAAATTGAATTAATATGCAAAAAACAAAACTTGTAGAGAAATCCCATTTTTAGGAATTGTTGGAATAACATTGCTATTGAATTCCCAATGCATATGAACAAAGTTGCTCGGATTTATATCATATAGCAAAATATTTAATTAACAAAGTTTATGAATGAATGAGTTATCATTAATGCAATGGAATTTTATTGTTACATCTTTGGTAACTTAAGAAAGTGGATCTTAATGAATTCTGCTGGGAGTTAGGTTAGATAAAATGGCTTCAAATATTTAAGAATAAAATTTCCCAGAAAGAATGGGAAATTCTATCAGGTAACATCCCAAAGGAGCAAATAGTTCCTACAGAAAGGGAAAATAACAGAAATCTAAAGATGCCA